GTACCAATGGCAGTTAGGGAATTTGTTGGAGGTGCATAGGGACAACAGATCAAGTTAGGCATTTCACATAGAATTGGATAGATATCCATTCTAAATGAACCAGGGATTAATATATTGTGAAGATATGGTGTATCCTAGTTCCAAGTCACCACCCAGGGTCAATCCTAAAGCCAAGTAATCCTATAGGGACTCTTCTTGAATTCTCTTATAATGATCTTACCTACTAAATGCTAGAGGTTAAGATCAATATGTGGAATTTCAAGTTGAGTAAAAAGAAGAGTTTTGAATTTCTAATGGTGGGGGTACCTTTTCTAATTTTCTAAGACTAGTCAATAGGAAAGTCCTATGGCTAGACCTAGGCTATTAAAGAAGTTTCTAGACCTCAACCAAAAGTGAGGTCAACATTCACGTTCATCACACCTAAAATGATGTTGAATCTAAAAGTGTCCAGGAAACACACCCAATGAACAAAACATGCTACAAAGAAGGAGAAACAATAGAGAACAGTGGAAGTGTGTAATCTTTTATTATGAAATGATCCCTATTTATAAACATGGGGGGTTTAAATGTACAATTACAAAATTTTCCCTCTAATCATTAAACTTTGAGAGGGTCACCTTAGTAAATCTTCAAGAAAATACAATTGAATATTTGCAAGAGCAGTCCGACCGACGCTTTGCTTGGCAACTGTTCATTTCAGTCAATCGATCACTTCCAGTCTACTTATAGGAACTCTATCGTTGATGATTTCGATCTACTATTGGTCGTCTCGAGTCTTGCCGACCATATATACACTTTTTTGATGATCCTTGGGTCTGTCAAGTTGACAGTCGATCGGGAGGGCCGACGCATGGTCGATCGATCAACCTTTTTCTTAGGTCATTTTGTACATGGACCATTCTTCTTCCTCAGATAGTCGTGCACCTTGAGATCGTTGTTACACTGTTAGCCCTTCATTCTAATTTTTAAAAATTGTCTTCTTTCTTGACCGTTCGATCATTTGAGATCCTTGTTATCATATTTTTTCTATACAAAATCAAATTAAAATTTAATTCGATTTTATGAAAATTTAAGTGGGTTCAACTTTCCTGATTCTGAATTTAGGTTGTAATGGGAAAACCCATCCATCCGAAGCGACCGACCGAATGATCAACCCCAGGCAAAATTCCGCACGCCCATCCTCGTTCTTCCCCTCCAGCAGCCGCCTCCTCTTTCGGAGCGGAGCCCCATCGTCGATCTTCTCCTCGGTGTCGAACTCCCGGTTTCGCTCGATCGGCAAAGATAGCAGAGAAGGCAACGACGAGATCAGCGTACAAATAACTCCATATTTCACAGCCTTTCGTTGCTTTCCCGCTCGAAAAGATCGAGGAAGGTAACCCTCGTCTTTCTCCGCCTTCGCTTCAGCACTTCAGACACGTACATTACTATATAAGGCTTTCCAAAATTTCGATATTCAAATCCCAGGGTTCCATGGTGCTTCCCAAATTCCTTCCATAGATTCCAATAATGTGCAACCATGTGTCCAAGTAGTTCGGTCAATTGTGTAACTTGCTAGTGTAAGTTTAGTGGGCTTTTGAGTGGCTTGATTAAGTTCTTGGATATGAATTAGGATATGTTTGAACATTAGGTGGTAATAGAGTGCAGCTTAGCTAGATGCTGTTTCAAGTTATTGGTATTAACTAGTTCGGCATTGATTCGGTAGTTTGATTTAAGCAGCATTTTAAATCAATGGATTTTTGCATATTCTATTTTAAATTAGAGCAGGTTAGGTGGCCATTTTATTAAAGACATTGATAGTCATTTGATGCAGGATTCTAATTGATTCGATATTGATTTAATGGCTGAATTTAAATTGCTGTTATGTAGATTTCGGGATAATTTTGAAGTGGTTTAGAACAGGATGGCAGCATGATTTGGTGAAATATTTAGGACCAACTTGATCAAGTTTTAGCATGGAATATATGGGTTGGCATTTAGCCGAGAAGAAGTAGATTTGGGCAAAACTTAAATTAGAATGAAATTTGGGGTTGTTTAAGTTATTTGGATTGCCGAGTTTACTCAATTGGAGTAGATTTACATTGGAATTGGGTGAATGGATTAACCGAGAAATCAAAATTCCAATTTGGAAGTATTTCATCTAGTATAACAGAAAATAATATATTCTTCTTTGTTAGATTTGGTAGTTCTAATCAACAGTTAAGTCAGATTTATGGAACTTTGCAGTAAATCATTGCAGAGTAAGTATCTGTGAAGTCAACTTCCAAATCAAGTGCACCATATATTCGTGAATATATTTATTTGTGGGTTTCACAGATTACATACCAATTAATTCCTATGTTTGTTTGAGCTTGGTCGTGGGGCGTAGAGGGCTCTAAGAAATTCATTGCAATCACTATGTGGCATAAGTATGGAAAGTACTGATCTCGTGTTAGGATTATGCGAGTATTGCTGGCTACAATGTGTTTGTGAATTCACCACTGTGAATTTTAATATCACTTCTTTGGTTTTTTGTGGGTATCGGGGAATATCATGTACATATGTAAGTGTTGTTGTGGGGATTGTAGTCAGAGTTATAGTAATTTTCAATGATTTGATGATATTGATTGCTATAAAAAATTTTATATCAGTAGGATGATGTGATTTTGAATTCTATGAGTTGATTCAAGTACTTCTTTTCAATGTTATTTTATTATCAAGTTCTTTTTGTGTGTATCAACCGGCAATAATCATTAATCTGATAGAGGACTTTAACGTGCTCTGAAATTTAGTTCAATTTTATTTGTTTATGTTGAATTTCAATTCGGTACATGTGGGATTCTACATATTTTTTCTGCTTGAATTTATTTCAATTTTTCTATGGGATTTATGAGAAAAAAACAACATTTGGTGAGGGTAATTCAACTTAATAGATTGTTTAATCTTGTGAATAAAGTTTTGGGGCTGTGAGAGATTCTTTCATACATTTCCCCCTAATTTTGACTCTTTCATTAGTTTATGACAAATCCGTTTTAATTCTGAATGGTTGGCTATGAAAATATTTATGCTTAGTAATTTAGAAATAAGAAGCTAAGCTTCTTTTGTCCTTTCTTATGCTTGTATGTGATTCCTTTATTTATTTTTTTGTCATTTTTGTATTAATCAGCAAAATAGTAACTCAAAATTTTCTGCTTGAATTATAAGTTTCCAATTTTTAATTGAGAACATGCTTTGAATCGAAAAGTTGACAGTTTGAGAGCTCATTTGTTCTTCCCATTTTTTCCATTTATGTTTTCCTTAGTATCGGTAAATTAAACCATTTTTGGGATTTTCATAGCCAAACTGGCTTCAAAGTCTTGTTTAAGTTAATTCATTGCTTTGCTTTTCTTCTTACATAAGTATATAAAATTCATGTTATTCTTTGATTTTTTTTTCTGTTATGGGTTTGCTTGTAGAACTACAGTAGAATGTGATGTTTCATCCGTTCAACCACTCAATTCTTTTTTCTCTTTTTTATTGTTTAATATTTGCTCTATTTGTGCTTTAACTTAAAAATGATAACTTTTTGAAATAATATTTGTACCAGTAATTTGCCATTTCACTTTTAAGAAGTTGGTGATTGCGGAATGTTTGATGCGATGCTAAAGAATTGAGTAGTATGCATGGAAATATGAAAATTTTAGTGCAGGATATGTAAATACATAAGAATTGTGTGGTATTTATGTTGTAAATACATATGAAGGTAGTGATTGAGTTTTTTTTTTGCTTTTATTTAAGACTTCTTTTTAAATATTGAATTATTAGGTCTTGATTGATTTGTTTGTTTAGCATATGTTATTTTAATATTCACGTTAAAGATATTTGACTATAAAATTTCAATTATTTATAGTGATATTATTATTTTTATATGTAAAGGTTTAGTAAATGAATCATTATTTAAAAATAAAAGAACAAGTGAAAATTGATATATATAATCTTTTGGTTGACCCCGAACTTTGTTCTTCTATTTGAAGTTATGATGTCAATGATAGAAATAGAGTACAAAGAGCGTATTTGCTTGAGATGCCATATCAGCTAAAGAGTCGTAACTTTTCTCAAACAGCGACAGATAATATTATTCGGAGATTTATTTCAAAATGGTTTGATGATTATCCAACTTGGTTAGAGTATAGTGGCGACATGATGCAGCATATTGCCTCTATTGTTATCTATTTAAGCCCCAAGAACTTATTGGTACAAATCAAGGAGATAGAGATTCATTTGTTAATGAAGGATTTAAAAATTAGAAGAAAAAAGAAAATTTTTTAGCTCACGTTAGAGATTATAACTGTGCTCATAATAAGACTATAAAAATGTGAAGATCTAATAAAGCCCTAAGTACAGAGTGTTTCTATCATGTGTATGAGTAAGAATGAAATGTATAAAAAGAATATATGATTATGTTGAATGCAACTATTGATTGTGTTCGGTTTTTCTACGACGAGGATTGTCGTTTCGTGGGCATGATGAATCATCTTAATCAACCAATTAAGGAAATTATTTAGAGCTATTTCATTTTCTTGTGGTTCCTAATGAAGAAATCAAGAAAGTTTATTTGAAAATGTTACCCCAATATTATAATTAGTTTCAACAAAGGTTCAAAAAGAAATTTATCAAACTGATGCAGTTGACCTTGACTTCTATCATGAGAGATATACATGATTCTTACTTCTCCATCATAATTAATGAGTATTGTAATGTGTCAGCAAAGGAACAACTGATTGTCATAGTGTGATATGTTGATAAAAAGAGGCAAGTTAGTGAAAAAATGGTTGGTGTTAAACATATTTCTTCAACAACTTCAGTTGCACTCAAAATAGTTCTTGAATCCATCATTGCAAAGCATTCATTAAGCTTACATAGGATATGTGGTTAACCTTATGACGGGACATCCAATATGCGAGGCGAGTATGATTCAAAAACACTCATTCTTAATGAGAATTCTCAATCATTCTATGTTCATTGTTTGGTGGCTGTAGCAAAAAATCATTGACAAGTTAAAAGTCTTTTTGAGTTCACTTCAAGAGTCTTAAATACTGTTGGAGCTTCTTGGAAGAGGAGTGATGTTTTTAAAATCATTCAATCTGAGAAAATTATTTTGCATCTTAGAGATGAGAATTTTATTAGTGATTGTAGTTTGAAGTAAGAAAGTTACTTTGCAACAAGCTAGAGACGCTCGTTAGAGCTCATATTTTATACTTTAATTAGTCTCATGAAAATGTATACATACGCACTTGAAGTATTTGAGATTATAAAAGAGTATGAGGTGCATGATCAATACTTAGTTGAAGCCGGTGTTTTAAGCAATGCAATATAAAGTTTTGACTTTGTCTTCATGATGCATTTAATAATTGGTATTTTAGAGGTTATAAATATTTGTAATAATCTTTACAAAATAATATTAATATATTGATAATTCAATGAAATTTGTGCAAGTATCAAAATAATGATTGCATATGATGTCAGAGAATGGATGAGATTTATTATTAGAAGTGTCTCACTTTTGTAATGTTTTTGAACTTGATGTTCCAAATATAAATCTCACTTTTAAGACTCGATGAAGATCAATACAGAGAGCTGAAAAAATTAAAATTTTGCATCATTATCATGTCGAGCTGTTCCATACAACTGCAAGAGTTGAATAACCGTTTATGTGCAACAAGTACTGATTTACTTCTTTGTATATTTTGTCTAAATCAAATTTTATATTCTCAAATTTTAATAAGAGAAATCTAATTTGTCTTGCAAAGTTATAACATAATGATTTTTCTACAGTTGAGCTTGTAGATCGCCATTATCAACTATTCATTTATATTATTGACATGCATTTTAGTGATTGTTTCTCATTTTTATGTGACATGACTGATCTTACAAAATGATTTGTTAAAGCTAAAAAATATTGTGTATCATCTAGTTTAGAGACTTATTACATTGACATTAACTTTACCAGTTGATACTGCTGCAGTTGAGAGAGCTTTTTTCAATGAAAATTATCAAACATCCATTACATAGTTAAATGGGCGATGACCGATTCATTGATTGTCTTATATCATACATTAATAAATAAGTATTTGATTTGATTCGCAACGAATCTATTATGCAGTATTATTAATCAATGCAAAATAAGTTTAAAAATTTGTATCTTTGTTCAATTCTTTAATGATAACAAATGACAAGCTTTTGTTTTGAAATATATGTTTTTTTAAATTAATTTATTAATGTAAAAAAATTGCCCATATGAAAAGAAAGGTTGGTTGTGCCCCTGGCGTGATTTTTCTCTTTCTAGGATTTTTTCAGGTAAATATTCTGGTATCTTCTCATTATATTTTTAATTTATCTGTGTGTTAGATCTTTGTT